TTTATTATATGACTCGTCCGACCAGTTGACCTAACGGTTGAACCAGTGAACCATTGACCTGGTCCCCTTGTCGATTCGATGACCAGTCCGGTTCTGATAACATTGATGTGAAAGACTAAAGTCTTCCAGTTTTTCCTTTCTCCAGGCGGTGCCGAGTGAGTGAGAGAGAGAAAAAAATTTTATTTTTTTTCTTTATTTTACTTTTTACTTCTTCTTCAGATCTACGAAGATTGGACCGTTAAATTGCTTCGGACTAAGAATTAAAATTGCTCTACTTAGCGAGAGCTACGCAATTACACCAAATATCATATTTTTCTCCGAAATAATATCAAAGCCGATAATATCAAATCATATTCTAAACAATAGTCTTTGGCCGAAAGTATCTGCGCAATTTCGGGTGACAGGAACGTTGTTTCTATCTTCGGGCAATCAGTAGGGAAGGTTGATTTTTTAGTATTTGTCAAACACGAGAAATTACTAGAATACTTCAAATATCATAACATTAAAGATTCACCAACGGAAGTACGCAATACCCACCATACTTCTCTCTCTCTCTCTCTCTCTCTCTCTCTCTCTCTGATGAAAAATTGAACAGTCAATTTAGAAAATCAAGCCACCTCGATTTGCATGACAATGACGTCGTGAGAAAATTCAAAAACGGTTGAAGAAAGTTGCCACCAGTTGTGGCTCCCCAAGTTATGAGGTCGTGATAAATTTCAAAAACGGTTGAAGAATTCTGCCTTTTCATTTGCCATTTGCCTTGCATTTGCAGTGAACTTTCTTGACGAGTGTAGAATTCTAGACAAAAGTGATTTGGATATGATTCTTTTTGGATAGATTTTACTGAACATCATCACGTATACAATTTATGTAAAAGTTTAGTCTAACTAATTGGTGGGATGTGGTCTAGTAGACCAATCAATCACGGACACATGGCACCGATTGTCCCGAGAGTGATGGTTATGTGAGGTATGGTGTGGGGCATGCTTGGTCACATAGAGAGACCCCAGATACTTTAAACGACTTATAGAAGTTTACCCATGCCAAGCAAGGGGACAAGAAACGAGTTAGCACCCCTCAGCATATCGATGGTGAGGCAATCTCATTACTGTACGAGAAATCCCCCCGTAGACTAATCTATTGTATTTACTCCAATTTGTTACATAGAATTTAAATTATTCCCAAATACAACGTCTAGCTTTGTTAAATAATTGAATAGGCCTAGAATCAAGCTTCTCCTAGTCTAGTGCAGGCAGCTGATTCCTCAATCAATGCAGTTGACTTGGTCAGCCTAACTGCATCTGATTCAATACGCTCCTAGACATGAAGATTAGTTTCAAATGTATCAAACCGAACAGTGGTTTAGTCAATAGGTCAGCTAATTGATCTTTTGATGGAAGGAATTACATTTGTAACTTCTGCAAAACTTGATCTCAGTATGCCCACAAGCAGAGGCAATATGCAGCGGGCTCCAACCATCTTAGTTGAGTTCTTCAACGAATTCTCGCCGGAATTTCTTGATTTCTTTTACACAATCAAGGTGGCCGGCCATACAAGCAATATGCAACCGAGTTTCAGCTCCGGCCAACGCAGTAGAAGAGGTTCATTGTAGATCACATGGTGGGCAAGTTCACCACATTTCCAACCCTGGCACACTCAAACAGCCTACTTCCCATTCTTGATCTCACTCAAAATCTCCAAGTATTTTTGGAGGTGTGATCACAGACTCTATACACAGAAGCTTCTAGATCTTGGAACAAAATGCTTTTTTAAACATTGTATACTTTTTTTCCAATAAACGCTGACAAAATTTCTTTATGTTATTTGTATTAGTAACCGGCTGGTGGATGAGTGCTCTATGAGTCATCTGTCTAGCCCTGAACCTACGTGCTTACGGAATCAGCATACAGTAAAATGACACTAAATTTTAAGCAAATGATATCATTCAAACTAAATATTCGAGCTTTATACACTTGAGGAGACTCGAAAACTTCATATAGCTCACACGCCTGGACTCTGGAGTTCATTCAAACATTGTACATGTACTAGTTAGTATAGCACACATGAAGCCATAGAAAAACCATCGAAGCATTACAGTTTTGGAAACACAGAATGTAAAGTCGTGAGTATAAACTACGCTTTCATAAAACCAACACTAATTCTAAACAAGTCAAATATTATGGCTATAGATGACCTAAAATTTGAAATTTATGGAAGAATGCAATTGAATCCTTGAAACAACACGCATACACCCATCCAATCGATCTTCATATTAAACTTCAGATTCTAAACAAAACATTCGCATACAATCAATCTTCGTATATTTTGGTCTTAAAATAGCAGACGCATTAGTAACCCAATACCATTTAATCACACAAAAACTGTTTACAGAACCAAAAAAAAAAAAACAATTTACATTAATCAAGAACCTTGGAGCATCAAAATACAGAATGCATTAACATTCTCTTCTAGCTGCCAAGAAAGAACTTTTCAGGACCTCAACCCCTGTGAACTTGGAAGCAAAAAGGACAATACAAATCCAATATATTTGAACATCAATGGCATCACACACTAGTTTCAAAAATTGTGGGGGTGTCCAACAAAAACTCAGATAAATTTTATTTTTACCCCCTTATGGTTTACCCACATAGCTTTCATCTCCCTATTGTAACCAAAATCCTAATGTGGTTTATAGACCAAAGTGTACAACACAGTCAACGGCACCTATAAAATGACCTCTTCTCTCTTTATTTTCTTCTCGTTCAGAAGAACATCCAAACAACTCCAGCAGAATCCGCCACACCCACCCCTACTCTGAATAGACAAGAAAACTAATTCAACTATGAATAGCCATGTCTACAGAGAGAGGGAGTGAGGTGTCACAAAGTTCATTGAAATGAACTTCATAATCAACACCTCTCCAACCCCGCTTTCAATAATGTCAGTGTATCAACAACACCAGATTTAACCATCTCTGAGCCCTTGGGTGTGTGCATTTTGGACATGTGGATAAAATGGAATTTTCCCTAAAAAATTTAACCTACAAAATTGCAAATATGGCATGGAATGCCACCAAACTGAATTCATGAAAAGTTAATACTTTTTAAACCCAGCAAAATACAACTCTCAAGTAACACATACAATTACTACCTCATAAAGGTTAGCTACAGCAAACATACGTCTGCATTCAACGATAATTAACCTAAAAAGGGCAAGGTAGGTAAACCAAGATGGCAAAAATTATAGTCTAACAATCGTTTTACCGCTATTTCATCCATGAACTACATGAGCGGGGGTAAGTCACACGCATCACCGTCAATAAAACCAGTTCTAATGCAGGATTTCACAGCACGAACTGCTCTTGGAGATGAGCAGCAGAAAATTAAGTGTGTAAAAAACCATGATGCCAAACTTCAAACCAGGACACTATCTGTCAGACCATCTCAAAAACTCAGTTGCTCAAGACACTATTTTATTTTATTTTTGGAACAAAACAAGACACTATATTTGAGACAACAAAATCTAAAAAAAAAAAAATACAGGAAAAAATCACCAACAATTCAATCACCTTAAAAAAAAGTAGAATCAAAATAAAAATGTCATAGATGAGCACATACATCCTATTGAACATAACAAAACCATGATAAATACATATTCAAAGACAAGGGAATGACGCAGTACTTTTAAATGCCTAAAGAACAAGGCAGTGTTTACTAAGCCCCAAAAATAAAAAACGAACCTCACCCAGGGATGTTGCTGTAGTCAACAAGAAGTCACTTATATATACTACGCGGATACAAAACAGCTATCAAAAGATTATCATCAAGAATTTCTAATTGGGTGATATTTGCCACAAAATGCCAATAATGGACATGTAGTTTTTCTAAAACATTTCCAGTGCCAATACACAATTTGGTCCCCAAATGATTTGAGGGTGCTCGGAGGGATGGACTACATAAGAGCCTAACCTTTAGCATTAATTCGCACGAAGTAATTGTTCTCAGATTCAAACAAAAAACACTGTTTGTTCACTGCACCAGCTCAAACAATACCAGTCGCTCAATTGCTCCACCTCTACCTTATCAACAAGCAATATAGATTTTCTTTATAGAATGACTATCTACCTGATCCACGAAGAATAACCAACTTCCTTTAAAGTTTTCTAAAAGAAAGAGATCATTTATCCAAAGGATTATTTGGGCAACATTCCCAAAGCATGTACAATGGCATTACTAATACAACCCTTGTAATGTAATTAGATCCCTTCTAATAGTTTCTTATCCAACAATGACATAATAGGTAGATCCAGATTTCCAAATTCCAAACTTTCAACAAGAAGATACGAAAAAGACCTCTACAATGTTGGCTATATCATCTCACTCACCAATCAGCAAACATCACCCATAACGAAGTTATTCAACATCTCATTCTTATCCAGCCAAAAACTATTTATGTTCCAGGTGACTTTCACCATCACGACATTTGATGGCATTTACCAAGGGTGTCGCAACAAATTTCACCAATGTCAAGCAGCACTAGTTGTATAAAAATCTATCCCCAACATGCGTTAGATATACAAGTGGACATTACAGACAACACAATTTGTACACATACCTACAGACAGCACAAAATCCAATTTCCAGGAGAAATAAAGAATCAGTGTGGTCACTTCAACCAGCCAAAGGAACCAAAGAAACGAACCAATAGATTCCATCAACAGACTTTAGCTTCGTCAAGATACAATTGACAATGTAATGATGACAAGCACAGATGCCATAATCATTCTCCAGTTGCACAAACACTACATTCTTTAGTCTGATCATCAACAGAGGGGGTACTTCAACATAGCTGGTTGAAGATTTCAATGGAACCAAGATGATATCCAACTTACATTTTTTAGTGAAGTCAGCCAACACTGAAAAAGCAGTATAATAGATGACCAAAGATTAAACTCAAACGTCAATACATCCATACTTGCTCTAATGGATATTAATAGTTCAATGCCATCTTAAACAGCCCATTTCCAGTAATATGGGGGCATTGTGGGAAGCAAGTTGATCCATAAATGCTTAGAGGAACTTGTTTAATCTGGCAAGGTACAAAATCACAACGTTGGCTGACCAACCCTCTATGTTTTATGATATTGGATCAAGGGTTGTAACACCAAAAAAACCAAGATTAGTTAGAACGGTATATAATGCCCTCAAATTCTTACTCGTCCAAAAGCCCTTAATCACATTAAGAACAGCTTGAGCTTAAACCACGTATTGTTTGTCCAGTGGAATGGATACAGTAACTTACCTCCTCTTTGTCCATCAAAATCTTACAGGGAGATACAGATAAAAACATTCATTCATAAATACCACATAGTAACATGTCTTCTTTTTGAAATTCTGAACAGCTCAAGTGTCCTTACAGCAGGAAAAATACGAGCCATCTAAATATTGAAACTGTAGATCTAAGACGCCCTGGAGTAAAAAACTTCTACTACAATAGATCTTTCCCTGTACCCAAACAGAAGAGGCTTTTCATGCTTCCATTTCAACTCTCTGAGCATCTCAATCCATAAGCTTCGAATAATTCACATCCTACAGCAGCCTCTTTGTCAACTCAAATCTGTACCATACACGAATTCACTAGTAACCACAACGCTCCTTTATCTTAGCACAGCGCTTATGAGAAGAAACAGAAGCAGTCTTCTGCAACCATGATCCTAAACAAAAGACAACTAAAGCACACAAATACTCAAACTCTCATACCTTATCAATCACATAGCATAGAACAACATTATGGCGTACCTCAATAATATGATCCAGAACCACCACTTCCCATGTAACTACTACCACCCAAACCACGGCCAGAATATAGCGATGAGTAAGAGCTACCACCAACCTGCAATACCAGTAAAAGCACAAGCATGAGTAACAAAGGAACCACTGGTAAACAACAAAAGTTTCAAAAACACCAGAGTTGAAAGCACAGTCATACATCACCCCCACGAGACATGTAATCACCACCAAAGCTTGATGAGTACATCCTACCAGCATCACTGCCACCATAAGAACCTGCAAGCAACAAACAAATATGACCGCAAAACATATAGGGCCAGAAACAATGTGGAGTACATGTATATCATAAAACACTACCGTCTTAAAGGTGACATATTAAATATGTTATCTTGTATGACATTGACAACGCACCTCCAGCATAACCCATACCCTGACGACTGCTGCTGCTGCTGCTATAAAGCCCATGTGAATCCTGACTGGAGATGGAATTTCTGCTGCTGCTACCATATCCTAGATTAGATCTCCCAAGTCTGCCAATATTTTTAAAAGACAGGTAAATCACAAAAAATTCAACAGAAAAACTCATTAGAACAACTCCTTCAGGTCTAAATACTATAACCGACCTATCACTGTAAGTATCCCCATACTGAGAAGCACTACCACCAAGTTCATAATCCAAACGAGCACGTGATTGCCGTACTCCTGCCTCAGCATATCGTGGAGGAACGTCGTCCTTATTGCATCAACAGATTAGAAAACACAAGATTTTACACTTCAAGCAAGATAGAAATGAGAAAACAAAGGTTAAAATCAGCGTAGGATATCACTAATGCGAAGAATCACCAACCATTGCAGTGTACGAACGTTTTGACCCAGAAATTGAATCATAATCACGCCCACGTCCCTCACGATAACTTGGAGGAGGCCTTTCAAACCTTTGCTCATAGCCATCATCAACATAAGCTGCTCTCCTAGCTGCAGGGCGGGATGTACCTCTGGGCAAATCAGGATAGACAGATCCACGGGAGGAATAGTCATCTCTATATGATGTACGTTTCTCTGAGGCAACTCTAGAACCATATTCTGCAGCAGCTCTGCTCCTTGGAAGAAGCTCCTCTTGCCGGCCATAGTCCCTCTTCATGATACTCTTGGGGTATGAAGGGACTGTAAGCACAGCTTTTACTAATCATTTCTCCCAGATAAGGACAACATTTCATTATCGTTCACCCATCTACATGAGTCTAGGCAATTGATCCCAAATAAAAATTTATGCATACCAGGGGGGGGTCTTCTGTCATATGACCTTGACAAAGGAGCCAGTGGCCTACCCCTTGGAGGCATAGCCATAACTGGTCGTCGATCCCTAAATCCAACAGGCCTCTTCAAACCACGATCAACAGCAGGGGGCATGCGTCCTCCAAATCCCCTTGCCCCTCGGACGGGGAAATTATGTGGAACTGGACGACTCCATGGACCCCTAGCAACTCGTGCAGCTCCATGCCCAGGACGGAAATCTCCACGAGCAACATGTTTACCTTTGCCTCTCTGTAGTGGTCTTGATAGCCGGGCCCTGACTTTCGCCTAAAAAACTAGCTATTAAACAAATCGACAAGCAACGGATACCAACAACCGAAAAATAACTTCAAGTCAAAGGACCAACCTTATTGTTTCCTTCTCCCAATTCTTCATTATTAATGCATTTAGCACACGTCACTGCAGCATCATGGGTATCAAATGTGACAAATCCAAAATCCTTTCTCTTGGCAGATGGCATGTTACGAGCAAGCTCAATCTTTTCAATGTGCCCATATTTCTTGAGAAGCCCCCGTACGCGATCCTCATCCCATGGAGCGGGGAGACCATCCACAAAAACAGTTTTAACCTGAACCCAAAAATATGTTATCAACAAAACTATCTCTGCGTAACCATGCAGAGCATTAAAACCAAATAAAACACAGTACACAGTACACAGTCCAATCTTACACTTGCCCAAACGAAAAAATTGCATCAAGGAATTCCATTTAGTAACCAAAAGATCCATATGTCCGAGAGGGTTATGTTATCAAAACATTAAAGGGAGAACACAAATCATACAACTATCATCCACAGCTTTCTTCTACCTTTTTATTTACAGTTATTTTCATCACACAAAAGAGATACCATCCCAAACAGTATAATTAGCCCAAAACAAAAATTGGACCACAAACTTGCTGACAAAAGTAACTACTACAGAATTTCCCAAATAAAATTGAATTCCACGCTTCAAACCGTTTGAGAAATTCCTATAACCCATTCTAACACCATATCTAGAACGGTACATAAATGACAGATATAGAGCTAAGACAGCCAGAGACAATGGTCTTCTGGATTTTTTTGATAAGAATGCTCTTCTCGATTGAATCCAGTAGAGTCACAATCCAAGTATTTACCTGAGCCATGATCTCATCACCTGGGTCAATGAAGGAATCTGCAAAAGAAACCTTAGCAGGCCTATCAACTCCAAAAACGACCTCTCTCTTCTGCAGACGCTTAAAAGCGTCCATAGCATCTGAACGAGAAGAGAATTCCAAGAAAGCAAAGCCCCGATTCATTCCTTCATTATTACCATCTTCAACCAATGTCAAATCCTCGATATTCTCAACTCCATAATGCTTCAACTTCTCTTTCAACTGGAAGCACATGTAATATAAGTGAGACAGCAATTAAGTAGTGCTAAGTATTCTAGTACATATAATTTGATGCTTGAGGATGACGTTAATTTCATTTGCTCTAATCTACTTACAGCTTCCTTTGTCCATGTCCTGCATACATTACCCAAAAACAGGGTGTCACTGTCTTGACTTGGAGTAACACCGCATTGTTTCCCATTAACCTGGAGTATTGATTGTCAAGAAGAGATGATTCAGCAAACAATCAAGAATCAGTTGGCATTAGATATATGACAGGAGCAAGGAAATACCACTGGGTTTTTCAGCTCGGTACAAGCTCGTTTTGCCTGTTCCACAGTTGCAAAACGCAGGAATGCAAACCCCTTATTCTTCTTAGTCTGAGGATTCATCATAAGTCTGACTTCAGTAACATCACCAATGACACTGAAGACTTTTCTAAGATCCTCCTCAGTAGCATCCTTGTCCAAGCCCCCCACAAAAACTTCAAACTCCTTCCGCTTGCGCCTCTCTTTAAAAACTTTATGGTGTTCTTCTTCATCTGCATCAACCATCTCACCATGCTCCTCTCCAGCATGCCCATCATCCTCCTCACCCTCAAGATCGTCACGTACGTCTTCCATTCCTCCTCAACCATATCACCCTCTTCCTCTTCAGCTACATTCCCCTCATCAACTTCTTCCTCTACTTCATCTACCTCATCATAAACATCCTCCTGTTCGATGTCCTTCTCATCATAATCGTCACCACCATATTCTTCAGGTTCATATTCAGGCTCATTATCCTCCAAATCCAATCGTTCACTTTTTTCATATTCCTCAATGGACACTTTCACCTCACCTTCCTCTACAAGGAAAAAAAAGGAGATGCAGACAACCAACCCAGTCAACAGAGTGATACCATAAACAGTTCTAAGTCCTTCTAATACCAACTTAGTACCATTAACATTCACTAGCCAAAAACAAAATTGGAACAACAAAAGCATATTGAAATCACTTTGGTCATCAACCAGTGCTCTTGCAAATATAAATCAGCGATGCAAGAGGGAAAAAGTTAGAATATGACTTTCTGCTCACAAAAAATACTTCCACCAGGGATTACCATGTTTTAATTTGGCAAAATTTCACTCACGTGTCTGCAACTCAACTATATTTCTTTTGAGGTGACACATAAAGAATCCTTAAACAATATCCCTCTCCACTATTAGGATTCAAGCCCTGTACCTTCCTAATCAGGAGACACAACTGGAACCAAACGCAAGTGGAAAATGCTACTAGAACCATATATATATAAATTCAGTTAAGACAAAACAGAAGACTACAAACAGATGGGATAGAAAGAAACTGTCCTTTAATGTTGGTTCAACTCTTCCGTCCGATAGATTTTTTCTTTTATCTACTCAGCAGAAAACTTGAACCAAGAATTTCAGTGAGTT